ATAAACATAGCTGGACTGAATTTACATGGTCTCTTGGAGTTCCTTGGGCTAGGCCTGACATGGAGAATGACCACGTGGCTTTTGGGTTCAGTGGCAGCCACTTGTTTCTTGTACCTTCTAGCTGAACTACAAATGGTCAAGATGCTGGACTAGGATTAGGGAAACCCAGGTTCTAGTCTCCCATCCATCATGGAGGCCTTCTGGGGAACTTTGGGTCAGTCACTTTTTCAGCCCAGCTGATCTCACTGTGCTGTTGTGGAAAAAAATGGAGGGAGCACCATGTATGCCACCTTGAGCTCCTGCAGGAAGGGTGGGATGTCAATCTATTAAACAATGACAAGGGGTCCCTTGATTAAAGAAACAAGGGGGTTGTCTGTCATCCAGGTATCTGTTGTAATATTTATATTCTTGGAACCATATCTTGGCTATTGTCATTTGAATTAATCAGACATTTTCAGTTGAGAGATTAGTGCTACTCAGCTCAGTTTTGGAATAAATCTTTAGAAATGCTAGACTATACCCACATATATCCATTATTACTGTTTAAAAGCATGCTTTGCTTCAACTTGTTTCACTGTATAAAAACACTTCAAATGATCTTTGTCAACCAGTGTTGAATCAACATAACATCAAAGTGCACACTAAAAAGCTAATCAGTGATGACGAGAAGCAAATTATTTTATTTATTTAAACAATTTATATAACTGCCCATTTCTCAGCAATGATTCTGGTGGTGTACAGAGGATTAAAACCAGGAAAAAAAACCCCCCAGCAGCATTATATACAAAATAAACATTCCAAATACTAATCCAAAATAATGGTAATAACAACTAGACAACCCTGTGACTCGTTGGGCCATCCTTTGAGAGAAAGGTAGTGCAGTGTGATGTGACCAGAATGAACATTAAATTTTAGGCTGACCGTATTTTTTTTCTACCCCAAATGAGGATGGTCCCGTGGTCATCTAAGAAGAGTATATGCCATAAATAGAAAAATAATTGTAGTGGCAAATGAACTTCAGTATTTACTTACCTAAACAGCCACATCACACTGCACTACCTTTGTCTCAAAGAATGACCATGGGTGGGCAAGAAAGCAGTGGGAATGGGAGTGACTTCCAACTTCTTGCCAGCTTCCTCATTAACTTTGTGTGTGGGAAGCTGGCAGGGAGCATCGGAAGTCACGACTGCGGGGATACTGCAACAGCCACAACTTTGCAAATAAAACTGATCTGAACATTGTGGAAATTTCAACTCCACAAGAGTCATGGGTCCCGGATTTTTTATGCATTCTTTAAGTTAGCGGATTTTAGATATCTTGATTCAAAAATTGTTGCAGTATAATGCACCGTTTGGGCTAACTCGAAGGTACAAAGAGATAAACACAATGAGTTTTTTGGTAGTATATAGATATATAGATATAATATAATATAAATAAAAATAATCCCATTTTCAATCTATAACAAGAAAAAACAGGAGTGGATTAACTCCAGGTCCAAATGCCTGTGGGAACATCCAGGTCTTTGAAGCTTTCGAAAGGCCAGGAGGATCGGAGCCATCCAGTTCTCTGGGGAGACGCTCTTCCAGAGGGCAGGTATCATGACAGAGAAGGTTTGCTTCCTGAGTCCCACAAGATGACAGTTCTTAATAGAAGGGACCCGAAGTGTGCCAACCCTGCTAGTTCTGATGCGATGAGCAGAAACCATCTGTCAGCAGCAGGCATTCAGAAAATCTGCCACTAAGGAATCACTGTTGGGTTAGACTGACCCTTTCTCACCTGTTTGAGCTCCAAGCTGAAACTAATTCTGGAGAACTGCCAGTTCCAGATAGCCATGACTCTTCTCTCTGTCCCAACTCCCCTTCCTAGAAAGCATCCTTTTTCTAGGCTCATGTAGTTGGAGGGGATAGGAATCCTCCCATGCTTCTGATGAGCACTGGAACACTTAATCTGAGCTTCCCCTTGTATTTATAGTTCCAAGTCAGGAAGGACAAGAAGCCAAAAGGTTGTCTGTTGCCATGTTTTTGGCCCCATCTTGCCTATTCTTGATTCCTAAAACTGCTCAGAAGTTTTTGGGTATGGAAGCTGCAAACTCTCTTCGTGCAGTCCAGAGAAGCAAGAGAGCAAAAGGCGCAGCGCGGGGGCCTTTTGCATTACAGCATCCGCTTCTCAGCTGCTTGATCCATGTCAGGCCCGCTTATGGGCTTTATGTTGAATGTGGAAATTTGAAGAAGAGGGTTGCAGCATCATGGAGGGCTTGATCAAGTAGACAAGAGTAAAACACTTGTTAAACCCAGTTCTCCATGCGTCCATCACTCTATCCACTGCATCGCATTGCCTTGAAGAACTTGGCCCTGAACCTTGGAAAATGTGGCTGTCAGAAGTTTCAGGAAATAAGATGAAAAAGCCACCTTCTAGTTTTGCTTTTTAGAGAGCTGCTCTCTTTTATGTCAGACAGAACAAGTGAAATGAGAAGGTAACAGTAGAAGCATGTTGGGGACAGGCTGAGGCTGAGTTCTTTTTCCAACAGTTGGGTGGTTGACATCTGATTAAAAGCACTAATGTGGCTATTGGTCTCAGCATGTCATCTCCCTGAGCTGGTTTATCTTTTCTTTGTTCCTCTTCAAAGCAGCCCAGCTGGGGCTCTGCAGTCTGTTCCTGGACACACCCTTGTCCAGTTCCTAGATGTTTTCTGCTGAAGACACTGCAAATTAGATTCTGTTTAATTTCAGCTCAGCATAGGGGCAGAAAAGCAATCTTTTTACATTTGAAAATGTGGCAATTTGCCATATGGGAAGAGACTTGGTGTAGAGAAGGAACTGGCATGAAGCTAGGACAGGGTGGGGGTGGGGATGAAGGAACATCCAGATCCTGATTCCTTGTTTTCTTGGAAGTCAGTAGATGTCTTTGTGTTGCCAGTCCCTGAATCATAGCTCCACCTACCTCAAAGGGTAGATGTGTGGCTAAAATAAGGGCAGGGGGAGGAGTGGTCATAAATGACACATACACGGTGTCAGTCACACTGCACTTTAATTCCTCTGTTCCCGAGCACGTCCTAGGGAACTTGTCTTTAATACTGCTCCTGGCTATGAAGGATCTTGCCCAAGATCCTTTTATTTCTCCTCTCCCATGGATCCCTCATTCTTTTGACCCTAAATAATCAGAAGCTTGTTGGGCTAGATATGTCTAATTCCTCATGGATTAATATTAATTAATTAATATTAATAATTAATACCATGGCATTACTGGTGTTGGGCCTGGTTTATCTGCAGCTAATCTGTGTGGCCCTCTGATTCTTTATATTTTGGTTGCCTTCAAAAGAGGCTGAAGAACGCCAACTGCTCTTCTTCAGATTCTGCTCTATGAACCCAGCATGGCAATCTGAGAGTTCCTGAGAGTTTTGCTGCCTGCTCTTGAAGTCAATTCATGTGCCACCAAGCAACAAGCAACTCTGGCTGCCTCTTCATGCCATTCATAGTGCAGCCAAGTGGAATGTTGTTGAACCAACACGACTTAATGTGCAACAATGTCTTGTGAGATTTTGTGAGATTCCCACAAACTAGTACTGGATTACCTTCATCTCTCTCCTGATGGGCAGATCAGTACTTGCACCAGGGCTTGGACAGGAGATCAAGCATAGGGGCTCTTTTTTCCTTGGCATCTCTGACTCAGGATTTGAGAGTTCTGGGTAACTGCAACATGTAAAACAGATTAAAATTCTAAATTCATATGTTGAGGGCTGATTCCCCATGCAATTATGTGTATCTCTTCAAGGCAGTTGATCCCCTCTTCCCCAATGTTGTAGACTGAGTTGATTTGGTTATGCAAGTATTTTCTAAACTCCTAAATTCCAGAATGCACAAAAAATAAATCAGGTCAGCTTTTAAGGCTTTGTGCAGGTTATCATGTCCAGCGTACAGGTTCAGCTTCATTCAATAATTAAGATTCAGCTTAATTAATTAATTAATTGTTTGAAAACATAATCATTGAACCTGAACATGGAGGGGGAAAGCTAGGGGTCAGTGATAAAACCCATACTGAAAAAATGTGGTTTTGAAGGGCAGCATAATTTTTTTTACATTAAATAAAAAGCACATTTTGTTTAGGGTGTCAAAGATCAAAGCTGGAAAAAGCCAGTGCCTTGCATGGGTCGGTGGCTGGGTTGCTGTAGAACAGTTCTGTAAGTCCATGCAGTCAAATGACTGTTCTGCAAAAAAAAAAAAAAATCAGAACGACCCTGTGAGTAATGTTGTAGCAGACCTATGTCAACCCCAGCATGGACATTAATTCTAATGCACACAAAGGCTCTCTTTTACATATTTATTTTAAAACTGGTGAAGGCAGTTTAATAGCCATGGACAGCAGTGTGTCAGTAAGCATTTGCTGTGGTGCCTTCCAGGCTCCCTCTGATTCCTGATTATGTTACAGATTTTTTTCACTAAAAAATATTGAGAAGTTGCCATGCTATAAAATAGAGTGCCAGCCTTCAACATAACATTTATTTCCAAGAACATCTGTTGGCCGCAAAGGCAGTTTTAGAAGACAGAAGTCAGGAGCCTGTATCCAACGCTTTCTATGGAAGTTGCTCCTTGCCTAGAAAAAGGCAGAGGTCAGCTGAGGCTGTGGGCGGGGCTGGAAGCAAAAGGGGAGGGGCCAAGATGGCGAAAACAAGCCAGCTGCAAGGAGCAGTTGCCTCTTTGTAAACAGGTGCCCTCCTGCAAGCGCGCTCATGATTGCATTCAAAAAGTTTGAAATCTAAAAGGCATTATCTGTGTTTGGCTTCAGCGCGAAGTTTCTGCAAATTGAGTTGCTCTTCTTGAATGCTCCTGTTTAAAAGTGTTCTCTCTTTCCTAGATTATTCCTTGGCTGTCCAGAAATTCTCCTTGACGCTTCAGTCCTTTCAGTTTGATTTCATTGGGGACACTCTGACGGACGATGAAATCAACATTGGTAAGTGCTTTTTTGGCCAGCTGCCTCTTTCGCCTTGTCACTGCAAGTAGCTAGAAGTCCATTTGATGTCCTTCTTGAATAATGAAATTCTTGGTTATAATACAGTTTAATATATCTTGCATAGAGCATGTCCAGCATACTTAACTCCCTCCCCACAGTTGCCATGTTAGCCATGAGAAAAAATACCTCAGGTCCATAGCAGGAGCACATGCATTAGGCCAACTGGTGTTTCACTGAATAGTGCAAGTTTTTAAGTTTAAAAGCTCAAATTATGTCTGGCCTTGTTGATACAAAGGCTGTCTAGTAGATTTATGTCTTGTTTTCCACTGGCCGAGGGATTTTTGTGTCTCACGTAGTTTGGAGAATGGACTGCAACAGCTGGAATTTATAGTGCCAAGGATGGGAGCCCCCAGCGTTTGGTGTCTTCGTTCCAGCATGACTTGGGAGGCCCTTGACACAACTCAACCTTTTTTCTCCTGAAAAAAGTGTGCTTACGCTGTTGTTCCTGTTTTTAGAGGAAAGCAGCTGTGTGGCTCCCTGTCCTGATCAGAAGTTTGGCTTCTTTCTATTTCCTTGGCGAGAAATTGATCTGGAGTACCTATTTTAGGAATGCTTTTCTGATGTAACATTTCTTAGCTGATAAATAACCCAGTTGCATGACCTGGATCAGTGTTTACCTTGCCTACTAATATTTGAGATGATAGAGAGATACAGATACAGATAGACGCAAACATCCAGATCAGTTCTTTCATTGCCTTCGGTATATGGTAAGTGTTTGTAAAATCACATAGAATTTATATTCCTGGGGGAAGAATAAGTCAAAGAAGTGAAGGTATGAACAGTCAGGGCAGCTGCAGGGGGATGAACAGGTAAGTATCAGAAAGCAGCAAGGCCGGGGGCTGCCCCTCTGCCATCCGTGAGAAGTGTTGAGGCACCCTGAGGATAAGATAGAAAAACAGGAGGAGGAGGAGATTTTTGCAAATTGCAAAGCAGAATTTGGCACAGCATAAATATCAGATAGATGATTCCATATTATCCTGTAGTATAATGGCTATGAAAAAAGGGAAGAGTTTGCAAGCATTATGCTGGGCCAGGAAAGATCAACCTTCTTTTGCACTTTTGAATTAAAGCAAAAAGCCAAGGTAAATCTACAGGCTGTGTGTCCAAAGCCATATGTGGTTTGACCCAGATTTGAGGCAGTTAGAAAACTAACATGTGGAAATGGTTCATGTGGTCCCAGTGGGCAATTGTTTTGGACATGGGAGACTTGGGACACCACTCTTGTTGCTCAGAAGATTTCTTGGAGAGGTCCTCCTGGTCACAGCCTAATTTTCTATCCTGACACATAGATAAGATGACCAGCCAAGGAAGCTACACATTTGGGGTATTAATTCACTAAATATATAAGGATGATAAAGGCCTGATGGGGGGCAGGTATTCCCATCTCTTAGAGTCAGCCTCAATTAATGTTTCCTCATTCTTTTCTCTCCATTGTAGCTGAATCCTTTAAGGAATTTGCTGAGCTGCTCCAAGAGGTGGAACTTGAGAGGTCCATGATGGTAAGGACATTTCCCCTCCCTCCTTGGTCAGAAGTGAGTTGAGGCTTCAGTAAGATGGGACTGAGTTCTATCATTGCATAACCCAAAGCCTTGACTTTGTGTTCTCAATACATCTGCCCTTTCCATCTCTGGTGCAATCTAGAGATCTCCAAGTCAAAATGATCCTATTGGTGGGTACGCATATCACACCAAGCCCTATATGTGTTTGGTTTGGGCCCAGTGTGTTGTGTCATCTCAAACATTGGGAAGTGTAAATCATGACTTATGATTTAATCTACTCTGAACCTAGGCAGTTGTGATTTATTTGACCAACCATGGTTAAAGAAAACCATAGCTTAGTAGGTTGTATGAACCATGAATGATGTCTAAACCCAGCCAAAATGAGGTTAATAATAGCTAGAATAATGTAACTTTTTCTAACTTAGTGCCCTTGCAGAATTCCCTGCCAGAAAGGAGTCAGTTTTTTTTAACCAAGGAGTTGCATTAACCAAGCAGTTGCATTTTTGGTACATGTTGAATATGCCCATTTCTCTATTTGAAAAGCTGTATGTCCCTTTTTTTTCAGGTTTTTCCACTCTTCTCTCACTTCGCAACAATTCGCGACACAAAACTCTTCAAAACCTTGAAACCCGCCCCCCCCCCCCCCCGGATATTGAGAAGACCAGGTTTGGGGGTTGCTTTCACTTATAGGCCCTCAGGATTTTTGAGTTGAACAGAAAACGCATCAGCAGCTTCCATCACAGTTCACTGCTCCTTGAAAGAGAAAGCTTGGGACTTGTTTTCAAAATATCATTTGAAGTGGAAAATATTTTTTTAAATATTTTTTTCCCCACCTTGTGAGATTTTATGCAGCTTTTTAGGCATTAGGCATTGTGCCTAAATTGAAGTGCTGGTCTGTAGCAGAAGCACATCCCAACAGTGTCTGCTGGAGGTGCGGGTCCTTCTTGAGCAAACCCAGCAGGTTGGGGGTGATAAGCTCATGTTAATAGACTGATTGATTATGTGCCATCAAATCATTTTTGACTCCTAGCAACCTCACGGATAGATTTTCTCCATGATGATCTGTCCCTAACCTGGTCTTTCAGCTCTTCCAGTGCTGCACTCATCACTATGTAACTGAGTGTATCCACTTTGCTGCTGGTCATCCTCTTCTTCTCTTTCTTTCCACCTTCCCCAGTATTAGAGCCTTTTCCAGAGAGCTGGGTCTGTGCATAATATGTCTAGAGTAGGATAATTTGAGCCTGGTCATTTGTGCCTCGAGTGAAAATGTTAGCGAGATGCATCATCTTTAAGGCAAATCTAGGTTATGGCTCTCAAATGCCGTCCTTGCTGAGGGCTTCCGTTTATCCAGCCAGTGTCAAGTGGTGCACAATGCATTAGCTCACTGATAAGCAGGCAAAGGCGAAGGAACCCAGTGCCAGGGAACAGGGTCTGGGCTGTGTTTTGTGCTTCTGGTTCTTTCCCTCACAACTCACTTTGATCAGTCTGTTATCTTGGAACTTGTAAGGAGATGCTTGGTACGTTGTAGAGCTCTTGGCAACTGATGATTTTTGATGTCTCCAAACTGTTGGAGCAGGAAGGATTCCTGAAAGCACATACCACATTGCACAAATTCCATCACACCGTTCCATGATTTCTATTGCCTTTTCCATGATACGCTTTTAGTTACGGTGTCTTGAAAAGGCCAATGTAGGATGGTCTCCTGTAACACACTGATCCAGAAGGAGGCTTAGTTTGATGGGAGAACCTGGCCAAACTCTGCTTGTGTGAACTCCTGCCAGGACCCTAAGGCCCTCCTTCCTTAGTCCTGCAGAGTGTGGAAATTAGTCTGGAGCACAGTTGAGGACCAAATCACACAGATTTAAAAGGTTCAGTGTTGCCTGACTCTTTATTATTTGACTACATTTTTCCCCTTAGGTGCAAAATGCCAGTAATTTGTTGATCAAACCTCTGGAAAAATTCCGTAAGGAGCAAATTGGATTCACCAAAGTAAGTTCTGGGCTCTGCCCCCATTTTATTTATAACTCAGAAATATAACTGCGTTAAGTTGGGGCAGACGTGATTGTGTTTGTGTGACTCATTATTTATTCTAAATATCTCCAGCCAGCTCCTAAAAAGAAACAAATTGCAATATAGTGTCTTGGGTGGCTACATTTATCAGTAATTATGCATTTTTATGATTTTAAAATTTATGATGATGTTACAACTTTGCTCTTTTATTATTGTGAGCTGCCCAGACCCCGTGCAGACCCTGTGCAAAGCCTGTGAATATTGGAAAATAGCTGAATAACTACAGACGTCCTCGAGTTGGCGTTCTGGGAAGTCACAAAACTAAAATTCACATTGTGGTTACTTGTTAACTGCCCCTTCTCACTTAGCTGACGGCGAATTTCTTGTTTTAAGCAGTGCAGAGAAATGACCATTCCTTGGAGGTTGGGGGCCTTCTCCACTTTCAGCCTCTCCGTTTGGGGCAGCTTGACCCACGGGCACTTGCAGAGGCAGATGCTGGAAGCTAGACAAACAGCTCATCTTGGCTGGACTTCAGGGTGAGAAAGAAGTACAAATGCTTCCTTCTCTCTCTTGTTTATCCCTTTTTAATTTGGGGGCCACCATAGATTAGCACAGCATTCCTCCTACAATGCCTGGAAAAATGGAGGTGGTGGGTCAGCAGCAGCAGCAGCAGGAGGCTGAATATAAATACGCAGCCAGGAATGATGACTAGAAGGGGGGGGAAATGAAACAAAACTTAGTCCCAAAGATTTGAGCAATACGTTTCTGGCCCTGAAGAATACTTTTTTTTTTAACCAGAACTAAACATGGCCATAAACAAGATCTTGTTGGGAACATTTTACTGAAATGACATTTTAAAAACCAGAGATGGTTATACTCTTGGCACAGAAAAATACTTTCCAAACTTCCATAATAATTAATTGATCTGGATCTGGTAGAGCTCCTAGTGATTTCTCAAAGTTTCTGCCTCCTTCATGGCTCCTCAGATCACTGCTCCATTTTTGGATGAAAGTAAATGTGAGAACATTCTGGCTACAGAATTGCTTTGTGGGGGTGTTGCATCTAAAATGAATTCTGCACCTCCCTCTCTGAAGAATATCTGTTTGGGTTAAATCAAACAAAAATGCACTTTTTACTAGAAATAATTATGATAGAATCTTCCCCGTGAATGAAAAAGTTGTGATGGAGATAATTAAAAGAAGCCTTCATGCTAACGATTCATCAGGCCCACCCTGATAGATGCTGTGTGCATCCTCTTCTGAATTGATTTCTCCTTTCTTTGTGGCAGTTGCTCGGTTTCTTTGTTTTCTTTGCATATAATGCCTCTTCGTTAGTTTGGTTTCTTGGCATGGAGGGCAGTCTGTTCCTCCTCTGGTCCACCGTTCGGGGAAGAGGGAGGCTAGGTCAGCAGCTGGCTGGCATGGATGCTTCAGGAACGCTGCATTTTTAAAAAGAGGATATGATTTGCAGAATTTATCTGTCTAGTCAGCTGCATTGAGTTTAATATGCAGTTCCACCAATCACACAGTTTTTGTGTAATTATCATGCAGTCTTCCTTTCTAACTAAGGTGTGTAGTGCTAAAAAGGGAACCAAGTTGGTGTATTGCATAAGACTTGATCTTAGCCAAAAGGTTGAGAAGCAATGAAGAACATCTGTGTCCATGCCTTTCTAAATCTGTGAGTCAGTGTCATGTGTATCATTATACTGTTCTTCCTACAAGGGACACCTGATATTTATTCAGAAAATCAGAAGGAATCTGGTAGCATCTTTTCCGACTAACAAAATTTTATCAAAAGGCATAAGCCTTTGTGAGCAACAGCTCACTTCGTCAGATGCATGGAGTGGCTATATTGTTGAATTAAATTCATGCAGTTTAGCAATACCATTCATCTGAGGAAGTGAGCTCACAAAAGCTGATGCCTTTTAATAAAATTTGTTGGTATGAACAGATGTTTACAGACTCCTGATTCTTGGCTACCATAGACTGAATATGGCTCTCACCTACGATGTCTTATTCATAAGACACTGTAGGTGAGAGCCACATTAAGTCTATGGTAACACCTCTTTTAAGCAAATACTGAGGTAGACCAGATACCCACTTCCTTTTATCAGATTAAAACCCAGATAGTCTTTGTAAGGTGGCAAAATTTGTTCCTGAGACTATTAGGAAAATAAATGGACTTATCAGCCACCTGCTTATGAAATGAAAATATAATGGAATATTACACCTTATGGGCTAAGTTATAAAGTTACTGTCTATTTCCTTTGTGATCATGGCAAGTGCTTGGAATAACACATAGCAGAAAAGGTGTTTTATTTCCAGGAGTATGAGTGGTGAGAAATTTTTGGACCATATTGGGACACAGATTGCATTTTGATAACGAGACTCATGAGTGATAATGAGACTCATTTTTCTTTGGAAAATTCTGCTTTAAAAATTGGTGGTAAATTATTCTAATCGAAAGTTAGGGCAGAAGCTGGGATCAGGACTTTAAATCAGCTGTTATACAGTGACTATTTTAAGGATTTTTCCTGACTTCAAATTGAATTTGGTTTTCCCAATTCTCATGAGGAGGTATCTTTAACTTAAGCATGTTCTAATGGATCAATATGGACTAGATGCGTTGTCTGCCTCAAAGACACCTGAGCTGCTTTTTTTACTTGATGGAACCCATGTCAGAATTAAAATGTATAATGTATCTGTATAAAAAGTTCAAGAATATTTTTAAAGTGTACATTTCTGGGGTATTTCAAACATGGACTAAAGAGGTAGAATTTCCGAAAGTCCTATCAATGGATTTATGTCCTTAAAAATGTTAAAATGGTATCTACAGATCTGAGGCTAAGGTTGATTCATCAAAAGTTTGCATTTAGGGTGGACTGGACTCCAGAAAGAATCTATTTGATAGGTCGGGCATCAGATTTTCTGTGCTGGAGGTATAAAAAGTTTGAAAGTTCACTGACCCATGTGATATGGTCATGTGATTATTTGGTATCTTTTTGGGATAGCGTATTAATGTATAGAAGCAGGTTTATGGGAGAATCTTTAAATGTTAAAAATGTTAATGTAATGTTGAATTATATACCAGAGCTTTGGAATTTGACTGTTTGTCAGGAATTATGGTTGTACTGAGCTTGGGGGGTGGTAAAAAGAATCATATCGAGAAGTTGGTAATGTGATATTATTCCAGATGTCAAGGAATGGTTATTGGAAATATGTGATTTATCTGTTTTGGAAAGGACAGTATTTTCTATTAATCAAAGGATGTAGCAATATTCGTTATTATGGCAGAGACTTTGTGATATCTTACAATAATATTTTGTGCTGTTCATATTATAGTAGTGAATTCATTGGTAAAACAGTCTCCTGGTTTCTAGGCCAGCACCTTAACTATACCAAACTAGTTGTCGTATCATAGTCTTTATAGTTTTAATATCAATAGAAAGTACAATTCTTATAGTAAAGTCTAAGAGTTTAAGGGTTAGTTTGGGGTTAACAATCTGCATAAGTTTGTTATTAATCTGTGGAGCCCTTGTTGCTCTCTGAGCTTGGTTCTTTACCCAGCTAGGGAGCATCATCAGTGCTAGTGAGTGTGAGGATTGCTCCTTGTTTATATACAGTAGCTTGCCCTGCCAATGTTGGTGGGGGTGTGGATTTCTCCTTGGTAGTTCCTTGATTAGGATATTGTTTTCTGGTTGTTTGTCTGGTGATGATCTGGGTGTAAGCTGCTGGAGAGGATGTGTTCTGGTCTTTTTGTTTCCTTCTTAGTTTTTTTACTGTCTCTTTTGAATGGTGTGTAAATGTGGTTTAACTCTATGTGCCTGTTGATGGCTGATTTGTCTGAATGCCAAGCTTCCAGGAATTTCCTCGCATTTTTGAATTTAGCTTGGTCTAGGATGCTCGCAGTTACCAGTTGAAACTATCCACATGAGTCTGTCCACATGTTGTGAGATTAAGGAGTTTTCATCGTGTCTTCTGACTGCTGGTTGGTGTTCATGGATGCGCGCTGCAAATCTTCTGCCTGTCTGTCCCACATAGTGTTCGTTACAGTCCTTACACTGTATGTTGCAGATGACTCCTGTTTTTTCTTCTTGGGCTACTGGGTCGTTTGGTTTGCTTAGGATGTTTTGGAGGGCTTTATGTCCCACATAGTGTTCGTTACAGTCCTTACACTGTATGTTGCAGATGACTCCTGTTTTTTCTTCTTGGGCTACTGGGTCTTTTGGTTTGCTTAGGATGTTTTGGAGGGCTTTAGTTGGTTTGTATGCTATGGAGATGCCATGTGGTTATAATAGTCTGTTGGTTGTTTCTGGGATGTTTCTGATGTATGTGTTATTCTTTTCATAGCTTGTGTTGGTTTGCTGTAGTGGGTTGAGCAGTCGGGCACTTTTTGATAAAGTTGCGTGGGTATCCATTTTGTTGGAAGATGTTGTATAGGTTATGTTGAATATGTTATTAATCTGTTATTCTATCACTTTCATTCTTATTCCTGGATTGAGTGCAATTTTATATGTTTTACACTGGGTTTGTGATAGAAATAAAAATTGCTGCCTTTCGGCACTGCAGAATAAATAAGAGTGAGATACAGAACATGGCATTCAGATCAGACTTGGTCATGAGCATTCTGGGCAAACCTTAGGAAAAACGAGTCTTCTTCCATTCATAGCATTCATTGGCTAAGTCCAAGCATAGTTCTAAGTGTGTGCAGAAACCGAAACACTCTTACATTCTGCCCTTGGAGGAGATATTCTTCAACCAGAGCTTGTTTATGAAATTGGGATCATACGAAAATAATATTAGCAATCGCTCTGAGCGAAAGCAGAAGATTTTTCCTTCACTACTGAATGCCCAGCGGTTAACAGGCCAGGGGACCTCTGCTTCTGGCCCTTCCGTTTGTTCTCAAAATCTTTAACTATGGATCCTAGTAGAAATTTGTGCAAATTCTCCATCCATAGGAGAGGAAGAAGAAATTTGAGAAGGATGGTGAGAAGTTTTACTCCATGTTGGATCGCCACTTGAATTTATCTTCAAAGAAAAAGGAATCTCAACTGCAAGAGGTAAAGTGCAGGCTGTTAGTTGGGTGGTGGTCAGAATGTGACTCAGTCTGAGGATGCTTGTGAGGTGAAGGCAAACTAATTTAGCCCAGTGGGTCAAGATAGTTGCATGTTATTTCATTTATTTTTATCCTGCCATTTCTTCAGGAAAGCCAGACACCTTACATAAGGATCGCTCTGCATTAATCCTGTGGCTGTTGCTCCTTTGCTGCCCATCAGAAAATTGTTCCCCTCCAATGAGTTCACACACCAATTGATTAGGTCCTCCTACTTTGGCTGCCTCACACCTTTTCCCCCAGCAAATGGGTTAGCATTAAGGTTATCGATCCATGGCTGAGAGTTACCTCTTTGAATTTAGATACCAGTGCCATAATCATATGGATATTGCGCTGATTACATCTGCTTGTTTTGGTAGTTCTCTTTGGCAGGCAAAAACTTTCTGGACTTTACATTTTATCACTAGTGGCAGGCAAAAAAGGAACAAGAGCCATCTCTGCAACCACTCTGCAAGGTAGATTAGTCTGAGAAAGACAGTCATTGGCCCTAAGTCACCCAGTGAGTTTTGCTGGCTAAGGGTGGACTTGAACTTGTCTTAGCCCAACCCTTTCACCTTCACCCTCACCTGGCTTCCACTTCCATGAGCAGTGAATATGGCTGAGTCAGTGGAAATTGCCAGAGCCAGTTTGTAAATTAGTCTTCTCATGAAGACAATTCACGAAGTGGCAAAAGCGTGTGTTCAATAATAGGAGAGAATTAGTTGAATCATTTTATTCACTTTTTCCTATTTCCCTTTTTTGTTATATAAAGCATGGTTGATTTCTGTTGCTTCAGTTGCACGCTGTAATGGACATCTTGAAATTAAGGCAAGTCTCAAATAGGAATTCTGGCTAGTGTAGCTAATACAGTTTGTTCTTGGGAAACAATTCAAAACACATGGTGTTTTGTGTTCTGGGGTTTCCCCCCACCCCCTTTTTCTACTTTTAAAAGTAGTGTTCAGCTGCTCATGGATTTATAGCTTCCCTAATTGTAGCAGAAGGATTGTGTAATACTGTCTTTCTTTCTTTCTTTCTTTCTTTCTTTCTTTCTTTCTTTCTTTCTTTCTTTCTTTCTTTCTTTCTTTCTTTCTTTCTTTCTTTCTTTCTTTCTTTCTTAGGCAGATTTGCAGGTTGATAAGGAGCGGCACATTTTTTTTGAATCTTCCCTGGAATATGTGTATCAAATCCAAGAAGTACAGGAGAGCAAGAAATTCAGTATTGTAGAGCCTGTAAGTCTGCTGTCCCTGCCTTTTTTTTAAGCAATCTTACCCCTATTTAAAGGGAATAGAGATTCTGGAATCCACAGGCTGGGTTCTACTCTTTATTGTAAGCCTTTACGATTGTTTGTTCCAGAAATGCTCTTATTCTTAAAGAGAGGTGAAAAAAGAGAGTGAATAGAAATTTTCATGATGATGAAATCAGTCCTCAATGTTCTTTTGCATTCCTTTTTATTTTTTATTTCATTTTGCCTGTAAGTGGAAATTGAACGTTTCTTTTTGTTGTGAGCTGGTCAAAAACAAGAAACTGAAATGAGCAGATTTCTACACATAGAACATTAGTTCTTTACTGTCTGTCAAATGTATCTCTAGTCACCACCTAAGTCTATGTAAGAAATGATTTCCATACCACTTAGCTCTTACAGTTGCAAAGGAGGGCTTAAAAGTCCCTGGGCCATGTCTACTAATACTGTTGTATTCAAACATTGTTGTCCTTGACTTAGAGAAAATATACGTTATGCAGAAAAACCTGTACATCCCACACAAATTGCAGATGCACACACATGGAGGCACCAGTGAGGAAAGGTAGGTGAACATTAGTTACTTGTATTTCCTCACTGGGTCTGAACAAAGATTGCTGAGAAACTTTAACTCGTCGGCAGCCTCGGATGTGGCTTGTGACGCTGATCAACCCTGTTTGGCAAATGTTGAAATCAGTTCTGATTTGTTACAAAGTTATTTGGCAGCAAGTTCCTGCTCCAGAGGCCCAGTTCCATTTTTGGCATGGTCCCTTTGATGTATTGCTTTTCCCCGCAGAGATTTTTAAGCATTCTTATCATTCTTCCCTGCACAGGTGTTGGCTTTTCTTCACAGCCTCTTCACTTACAACAACCTGACTGTGGAGCTCACACAGGATTTCCTTCCGTACAAGCAACAGCTTCAGCTCAGTTTGCAAAATGTGGGTGAATTTCCAGTATTCCTTGCATCCTATCTAGAGGGCACTTGATTCTGTTCTCAGCCCTTTTTTAACTTGAGACAGGGACAACTGGGAAGCTCCAGCCTGCGGCCCTTTGCTCCACGGGGCCCCAGATGAACTCCCCTCCTCCAAACCCCTGAAGGCTGCCCTCATCTGCTGAAGCCTGCCCTGGGGCCTCCCTCAGAGATTCTGGGCCTTCCCAAAAAAGAGAAGGCCTGCATTGGCAGGGATCCCAGCTGGAGTGCTTGCTCCCTCAGGTGCCTTCCCTGGAAGAGGGAGGGGTTGGTCAGAGTGCCCCTCCAGGCGCCCAGCTGGGCATGTTCCTCCAGTTCTCCAGACTGGGGAAGGGAGAAAATGGCAGTCTTGAGCAAGGGCTTTCTTCCATGGAATGTGCTGATTCCAAGTTTCCTCCTTCGCCAGAAGCTGGTAGGCATCAAGGCATAGGACTTCTGGGAAGGGGACAGACATGCCGTCCCTCAAGCTCCTGCCCAGCCCAGTGGGAGAGACCCTGGATTCAGTTACCAGCTCAGGACCTAAGAATCCAGACTCTGTCCTCTTTCCCCAGGGCTCTGGGGAAGGGCAAACTGTGTGCTGCAAATCAGATCTGTTTAAGCCTCTCTCAGTAAACATCCTTCCTAAGTGTGCAAAAGTGGGGTTTGTTGAACTAGGAAAAAAACTAGCCTCACTAAGCACCATGCAGGCAGGATGCAAACAGTATGCTTGGTTGTTGCTTCCCTTCTTTTCCATATGAATTTTAAAATATTTAAAAATCATCCCTTTAGTCAAGTTTTTGGTAACTAATAGACACTTTGATTACCATCCATTTATGTTGAAGGTTCTAGGATGGAAAATCGAACCCTCCGCTGTTCTCTGTTGTAGCACATTCTCAAAAACAGCCATAATAACCTTAAAATGTTTTGCACACCTTCACTGCCTGACATATCTCTGCAAGGTTCCCAGGGGCGACTGACCAGCCTCTGCTTAAAATGATTGCTAGGCTGCCCTTCGAAGATTAGCTTTCATTCAAGACCATCAAATATTTTATTGGCTATTTGATCCTAAATATTTTGCTTCTTTAGGGTCAAATATGAATTGAGTCTTTTCTCACATTCCTTAATAGACGAGGAATCATTTCTCCAGTACTCGTGAAGAGTTGGAAGACCTCAAGAAAAGAATGAAAGAAGCGCCACTGACCTGCAAGTTACCTGGCAAGCCAACCATTGAGGGATACCTCTATTCACAAGAAAAATGTAAGATGCAGAGTTGCTTTCTTATTTTAAATGAGATTCTTACATAGTGGAATCCTGAAAGTTCTGGAATGAAAATAAGAGATGCGCTCACTCCTTGTTACTATGGCTAAAAAAATCCCTTTGGTTGAAGATCTTGGAAATAAGTGACCTCTGCTCTCCAACTTCCATCCTTGTAGTTAACTGAAGATGCTCGTGCCCAGTGAGGTCATCAAAAGTCACCTTTATATCAAGCCTTTCCTAAAACTAATTGATGTGAAATGATTATGAAGGATTGGGGAGCACAAAAATTCAAAAATGAACCTGGGAGGTTGGGGTCTTGACCTGCCCAATTCAAACCTCCAAGCCCTCCTCCCAAGCAGATAGGCTTACTTTAGGAATAAGGACCCAATAGTAGAGTCAGTGTTTTTTCTGGGGAGGGCAGACTTGCCAGGTTGTCTTTCTCCTCCTCCCTTGACACTTCTTTCAAAATACAGGGACATGACTTGCACCATTCATGGGGACTTAATTAGAATTCTCACTATTCCTCTGAGAAAGGTTACCAAGGATACAGGAAAATGAGGAAAAATTAAAATGGAACCATCTCCTACTTCCCCATCTTATTCCCCCAGGCTAAACTAGCTCCATTTGGGACCTAGCATGGCTGCAAAGCTGAGAGCTGTGCATTGGAGCTGCACAAATTATTCAGAGGGGCGCAAGCAAAGCACTCCTCCTTGAAGCACTGAGGAGCCATAAGGTCCTCTGGGAGTGTTGGCCCAGGTGCTTCACAAGCTTTCCCAGGAGATCTGCACACAAGTGCAGGCACATCACTGGGATGGTGGCAAAGGGAAGGGGCTGTGTCTTCATGCTCTTGAAAGCCAAATGGAAAAGTAGCATCTTTGAGAAGAGGTGCTTCATTCTTGTCAAAACTTTTGGTGAGCACTCTTTGGAATGCTTCATACAATCCTGGGTGGGTTGTGCTGCCTGTCCTAATTTCTCCAAGATTTCTCATACTATCCCTTCATGTATTCTTCCCATGCTAAACTCTGATTCTGTCTCCTTAGTTTGGAGGCTTCTGTCTTGCAGGGATGAGGAAGATGATGATGCTTTAATTATAGTCAGAGACCAAAAGTCAAGTATAAAGTTTCCTCCGGTAAAAAAAAAAAAAAAGAAACAGGAGATGATTGATTGATCGATCGATCGATCGATCGATTGATTGATTGAAGGTAGTCCAGGGTTACGACCATTAGTTCAATGACCGTTCAAAGTTACGACGGCACTGAAGGAATGATAGTTATGACTGGTCCTCAAAGTTCCAGCTGTGCAGTGTCAAAATTTGGGCACTTGGTGACCGGCCCTCATTTATGACTGGTCGCAGCATCCCATGGTCTGTCCTGCGCAAAATGCCTCTGCTTCAGCTCCCCCCACCCGCCTCTCTCTCCTTATCTCTGCCCTTTTGGCCCCTTTGTGCTCTGCTGCCTACCCCTGCTGCCCTCAGCTGGACTTCACTGTCTTCTTCCCCCCGCTGCTGGCCAAGGGTCCAGGTGCTGGGTGAGGGCATGGCTAAGTCTGTGGCCTATGTCTCGATCGCTCGTTCCTTTGCCGTTAATAGTCAGTCCTAAAAGGCAGAAGCAGTCCACCACTTCAGTACCTTTGTTGTCAACTCCAAGTCTGGTTGCTGTACCCGTTGTTATTACTTTGGTCTTCTTTATCTTGAATCTTAGTCTCTTTTTGTCAATGTGCTCCTTGACTTTCATTACGAGAACTTGCGGATCATTTGCGTTTTCAGCAATCAAAATAGTTGAGCCTACTTTGTGTTTTTGTTGTTCATTGGTGCTTCTTCTTCCAATTTGCAAGACGTGCTTCCAGTTCATTTTCTCTCAGTATACATTCTGCATATAGGTTGAATAAATAAAGGGTGAGTATACATATTTGCCTCACTTCTTTGCCGACCTGGAGTCAGTCTGTTTCACTATGTTCTGTCCATACTGCGCTATCCTGACTTGTGCTGAGGTTTCACATGAGGACAGTGAAATGTTTTGGGATTCCCATTTTCCCAAGCTCATTCCACAGCTTGACATGATGGATACAACCGAAAGCCTTTCTATAATCATGAAGCATATGCTGACTTTCTTTGGCTTTCTCAGTTATCCAGCATTCTCAGCAATAAGGCTTCTGTTCCTTTTCTAAAGCCAGCTTGAACATCTGGTATCTCCCTCTCCATGTAGGGCTCTAATCTACATTGGATGTTTCTAGCATGTGAAATTAAGGGTTTTATACAATAGTTTGCACACTCTGTTAAGTCTCTTTTCTTTGGTATTAGTACATAGACGGAGTTTTTCCAATCTGTTGACCACTGTCTTGTTCTCCAGATTTGCTGGCATAGCTTGGTTAGACTCTTTATTGATTCTTTTTCTGCTGCTTGCCATATTTCTGTAGATATTCCATCAGTTCCTGTTGCCTTCCAACTTGATTGTTGTTATTGTTATTATTAGATTTTTATTCCACCCCTGGACTGCTAGGAGGTCAAACCAGTCAATCTTAAAGGAAATCAACCCTGATTGCTCATTGGAAGGATTGATACT